AGAGAAATATATTCTCAGTTATAATATGACTCGTCAAATTTCTTCAAAATTTGTCAAATCGTTATTCATTGTTTCGTGATCGTAATATTAGTTCGATTCAGTCATTCTCAACCCGAAACGTTCATCAATTACGAACAACTATTCTAACACATGCGTGTTGACGATAAACTGATCTATTCATGAGTCATTTCTCATCAAGGCATTCGGAACTTCGTAGCTAGTAATTTGTTGCGTTTATGTAGGATACAGATTGAAATCGTTGCATGAACAGCACTTAAAATAACGTTACAATTGTTGTGGAACAAATGAAATAATGAGGATTTTAAGGGCACTACTTGGTGGGTGTTACCGGTTCAGATGGCAATGGTATTGAGTCGCAATTGTTCGTGATGGATATGAATACTGGAAAAGCGAGTACTTTTGCGAAGGTTGTCTTTGTTGGATGGTTATAAAAGTGAAATTGAATCAATAGGATCAATCAGTTTTGCTCTTTCTTGCGACAATTCTGTTTGCAGTACTTTCGATTCTCATTTGCGAGAAATTCGTAAATATCTCATCAGTTCCAAAAANTCCTTGGCATTCTTCTTTCCGCGCAGCTAACCATATGTCTAACAAACTACCTAGGCACACAACAGGCTTATACTCTGATGACGAAATAATCAGTTGAAGTAAACATAGGAGTATAAGAGTTATTTAAAAGCTATTCTCAAAATCCTACGATTAACCGTTTGTTTATAGGGTATAGAGAATGCACACGCTCTCGATGTGTCTGACGATGGTACCGTATATATCGCGCAAATTGGACCCAATCAAATCGTCAAAATGTCACTGAAAGATCAACTCTACTGAATAACCACCGCCAGATAACAATAACCCAATTGTATCCGTAAACAATATATCATTTGAAATTACAAACAGACTCAAAGTTCTATATTACCATATAACATATCCTTTGAGAAGATTACATCTTCATATAAGTAACACACTATACATTTTATTCCATTCGATCTCAGAAATAAAGCAGTGTTATTGATGTTTCATTTGATCAATGACATTGATCAAATGCTTTGTGAGTTACGACATTATGACTTCGATCAGCAGAGAAGTTGGGGCTATTTGGTCACTGTATGATCAGAATTAAAACACTGAAATTGTGACTAGCAGAGAATTTGGGAGCCTGGAGATGCGAACGGAACAGTGGCTTGAGCTTTGATGCTCGAGTTTGAAACTGAAAATATTACCGTTGGCTTTGTATAGTGCTTCAGATTGCGTGATAACGCTAGAAAATTTATAGCACATGATTATATATCAGCATTGCAATGCCGATTTTAATGCTGTTCGAATTATTGCACCAAAAAGTTTCACGATTCCAAAGGTACAGATAGTCAAATAAACAATGGCAGATCGAACAATTTCGATGGTGAATAAAATTATTTATAGACAAAAAAGTATGTGGCAGTACTGCGTCGACTAGTTGCATAACAAATATCCAGAAATTCAGCTATAACTGAGGAATTAAGCACAAGATAAGAACATTGCTGATAGTTCATGATCTGCTAGATTCAGTAGTGTACCTTACTGAATATGTTCATTAAAGGAGTTGCATTTTGAAGTTANAATGCAGAAATGTCCGAGATATCAGTCCCAAGCAGCCTGTGCGATCAAATTCCCTCACCAACTCCATGATTTTTTCAGATCATTTGAGTTGTTTGATTCTCAACCATCAGACGGAAAAGACATATATTATTGATAGATTATTTCAAATCGTTGTACCTAACTATAAGTACGTACTTCAATAAAATTCAGACCACTTAGTTGTAAGTCGAAGAAATTGTTTGTAAAACAAAATTTTTCGCAATAATCATCCAAAATCAGTCAATTATTTTCACTAAGAGTATTAAAAATATTATTTCCAAAATCGAACAAATAATATTTTCGAGGAAAATGCATGATGCACTAATACGATCTCGTAGCCGATGGTAGAGTGAGCTGAGTGTGCCTCACTCATCCAAAAACTCAAGCCGATCCTTTTGCAGTTTCAAAAAGCTTGAATTGGTCAGTTGGTGAATGAAAATTCATCAAAGTGCAAAAACTACATGCCAACTCAAACAGTGCGGCTAACTTCCTCAATGTTGATGCTCACCATCCAAATCCTCAACTTATGTCTACAAGTCTGCATCATCAAT